AAAAGTTGTCAGGTTTCGGGGGGATCAAATTACAGTCAATTATCAAGGTCACTAAGGTCAACCTTGATTTTTTAAATGGGAACCCATATTTTTATTAGTTACTTTAGTATGAAACATTTTTCTTGAAAAGGCTTCCTGTAATAAAAGTATGGTTTCTATTTAAAAAAATCAAAGTTGACTTTCAAATGACCTTGATCTTGATCTGAAGGTTTTTTTCAAGGTCACAGTAATTTGATCCCCGAAACCTGGAAACTTTTGTGGATATATTTTTCATCATCCTGCTTGTTTCTTGAGATATTAGCCTGAGAATTAAAATGGAACAGTAAAAGTATAAGCTCTGGCGAGAGAACGAGGCATTAAAAAATCAAGGTTGACCTTGAAACGACCTTAATAATTGACTTCAAGGTCAGTTCAAAATATTTTTTTATAAAAGTCGAAGTAAAAAAAATATGCGGGCTGGTACATCAAAATGGGACACCTTTTATATACAAGGTGCATTAAAAAGTAAACAGGACTTTTCAAAAATAAAAACAGAAACTTTTGGAACACGTGTTAAAATATTTTTGCACAACTTGTGCATTTGTGTGCGTTCTTCCAATTAAAACTATAATCCGTAAATATATGTTTTCGAATGGAATGAAATTTTTAAAGCAGATTACTCCGTGCAACTGTCAGTAGACCACGCAGTAACAGCCCCCTCTATTTGCGAATGTAATTAAAGCTTTTAATCTGCATTTCCGTTATTACCGATATGATTGATTCTGCTGCAAATTTGACTTTGATATATTTATTTCATAGAATTTAGAATTCATTATATTCAGTTTCGCATGTATAGTCTCATTTAAATTTTAATAACGTATTAATTGTGGGGTGAAATAGTAAGCCTGAGAATAAAATATCCGCCTTCTACATGTGTATACAGGGTGTCACAAACTCGATAGTATGGCCCTACTGTGAGGATACAAAAAATTTAAATAAAATTTGGGACACGTGGTGTTAAGTGGGATGAGGTAAGCTTCGTTTTCAAACGAAAGTATTATCTTTGGGATTTGACAAAAACGACTAATGACGTCATCAATTATATTTTTTCCAGAAACATACCCAATTTTTTTCCTGTTAAAAGCTCAATTTTTCCTAATAAACTTTTATTAGAGAAATTTGTCTGTATTACTTATAACTTTTTTCCGTTTATTTCCACGAGAAAACAGTAAAGTACTTTTTTTTCATCTTCAAAAGACCTACAAAACTAGCTCTCGAGCGTCAAAAATATTGATTAGATCAAAAGTTATAAACTGCGTTATTATTACCAGAACGTTTTGGCATCGCGTCCTCTCATTTCTTATGATAATTTCCCAGCTTATTTTCCTGGCCTATTAGACTTTCTGACATAATTATGTTGGAAAGGCTGTTGTTTATTAATTTTAAATATTTTCCATCTCTCCCATCGGTCTATCTAGACCTCATCATTTGTTTTTCGACTAGAGAATTTTTTTGACATATTATTGGCCATAAAATCTGCGAGTTATAAACTTCCTGTATCCACCAAATGCCCCATTGCGAAATCAGAGTTATGAAAGCGATTCTTCCAAATTCTTAATCCCTTTGACTTTTTCTAACGGCGCCATTCCGGGGAAAATCCATAAATCTCGGGGCCCGCTCGAGAAAAAATTGCGGTGAAAAATATTCCTAATCCGAAATATATTAAAAGTCGCATCGATTTAGCAATAACCGTTAGCAATTTGGCTTCGGGGCGTTGAATGCAGTCCATCTATTATTTTTAGTGGGTAGTATAATAGAAGGAACCCGGAGAGAACAGAAAACTTGTGTAGATTGTAGTAGATTTATTGGAGTGAGGGAAACAGCTGACGGTGATAATAATATGTGATTGTACCTCGGACCCTTTGATTAAAATTGCCCGGGCCCACTCGATCATTTAGGGTTTCTTTGTGTACATAGTTTATATAACAAAGGTTTTTTTCGCAATAAAATACTTTCCAGACTCTTTCTTCTAGGACTTCGACGTCTCTACAAATTCGTGAACTACTATGAAATACCAAGAGAATCAGACGTAAGAAAATAACAAAAGAAGCGGGCGAGACATTAAATGATGAATTGGGATATGTATCAAGAACTTTTAAACTAAGGTCAGTAGGGTGGAATCAATATTATCTTTCTACAAAACTGAGATGTTTTATATGTTTACTTTTTATCATCAGATCTATATTAACTTTACCTCTAGCTCCAACAAATTTTGCTCGTTAAAGTTTAATATGACAGTTGAAACCAAGAGACCTTTAGAAGATAAAGTTCATTCTATGATACTTGCCACAATAATTGATTGAATTACTTTATTTATGCAATTTTTTTAAGTTTGTTAATTTAAACAAGTACGAAGCGTCCGCGTCCTCGCCGCTCAAATAACCACACTGAACTTGACCCTGTTACTGTATCGTAAACAGTTGATTAAGTCGGGCGACTCAGGGTCCGCCTAATTTTCGCGTAACAATTTTTTATTAATTTTTTTGGAACACGTGACTCTAGACCACAGGCTGTTTTTATTACCCTATTGAAAGAACGCGCTTATTTTAGAAGCACTCCGTATTTCTTCATTTTATGAATAAGTAAAAGTAGTTTGTTCAAAAAATACAAATCATGTATTGATTAGCTTATTTCCCATCGATTCGCGCGGCACAGGGTAAGTAACTTGCACACACATTTTTTCAATTAAGGCGAAAATTACACTCCGGCTCGGTTCCGAAGTTCGCAGCAGGAATGTACAAGTTTTCAAATGAGAATTTCCCACTCGCCGGAAACGATCTGCTCAATAAGAATAAATGGGAAGTCCCGGAGTTATTCGAAAGTTTTTAAATTAAGCATTTTTTATTTTTACGCCGGATGCAAATCCTGCAGCTTACATTTAAGATAAAGGTTTATGTAATTTATTGCTCCAAGTTCCGATTCTTCAGCCACCAATGGGGCAGGTAGGGCAATGGATGTCGAACTATATTCAAAGCTGACGTTGATTTATCTTCTGGAAAGTTAACTTAGCGTATTAATTCTACATCGAATTATTGTTTGTTAACTACTATCGAAATAAATGAAATTGACCCTCGAGTTTGAAAACCGATATTAATAAAACGTAGGGACAAAAAAATTGAAATTTGGACCATATATAGCCTCGCTATTACTCTATTGTGTGCTAAAATTTCAGTTAGTTTCGTTATTCCATTTTTTAGTTATTAGTGAAAATGTTGAAAAAATCACGGTTTTCTGCCTACAAAATTCATACCTCTCTCTTTAACTCGTAATATTTTTGTTAACTGATAAAAGAATTCCAAATTTTTAGTGACGATAAGTCGAACTATTGCCTTTAGTACTGTGAAGGTCATTTATCTCAAAAGCTCTTCATTTTTTTATTTTTAAGCAAAACAGAAGCGAGTGTTATCTCTGTAAATATTACATTCCTAAAAAAAGGAAAAAATGTCAATAATTCTAAACAACAATCTGCAAAATTTTTTTATAAATATGATATTCTTAAAAACAGTATCGGAATGGTCAATTACATTTATGGTCTGATGCAGGGTATACAGTATAATAATAATTTATTATACTGTATAATAATAAATATATTTTTTTAAGTAACAAACTCATGTATATTATAAAAACATTTCCTAATTAGATAACTCTTAAGTTTAGTTTTAAAAAGATTATAATTTAATTCAGTCTTAATGTCTAACTGATTCATGAATTTAATACCCATGTATGATGGAGATTCTTCATAAAACGATGTTCTATGGGAAGGTATTCTTAATACATTGTCATATCTGGTTTGGTAACTGTGACTGTCAGCGTTTCTAACAAAATAACATCCCTTTTTTAAAACCTCTAATATACACTTATAAATATAAATACAGAGAAAAGTTAATATATTATTTTCTATAAAGTAGGGCTTACAAGAAGTTAGTGAAGGAATTCCAAATATTAATCGGATATTTTTTTTGTGAAATAAGAACTCTATTAACTTTGACGCTACTGGCACTACCCTAAACAATAACATTAAAAGACAAGTCGCAATAAATTATTGAGTAGTAAATGTCAATCAGCTTTTTGGTATCAAATGTAGACTTTAACTGTAGTAAAGCATAGTATCCACTATTTAGCTTTTTGCTTACATATTCAACATTACTGGTCCAGCTCATATCAGTCAATAAAAGTACCTAAAAATTTAGTAGTATCAGATAGTTTGATTATTTATTTATAGCCTTTATATCTGCATTATTTTAACAAATTTTTTCAAATTGTTGTTTACAATTACTCACTGCCTGAGTCAGTTTTTTCTTTAATGACTTAATAACTAAAAAATGGGATAATGAAACTAATAGAAATTTTAGTACATAGAGTAATAGTGAGGCTATATATGGTCCAAATTTCAAATTTTTTTGGCCCTACATTTTCTTAATATCGGTTTCCAAACTCAGGAGTCTATTTCATAACTATCATGACGTAACAACCATGATGTTTTCGGATTCGCCTTTCAATTTTCTACAAATTCACCAAAGAATATGAGGTTTCATTTTTTGGTCACCATTTGTGAATCACCCTGAATAATACCATTTCTGAAATTAAAGTTTTTTAACGATTTTCATCATTCGGGCAACCAACCAGTAGGTAGTTTTGGTTTTTTCTTTACCTATCAGGAATATTTCAATGAGGTTCTTGACTTGGGTAAGCTGCCATAAGTCTTATCTGCTATAACCTCAAATATGTGACAGCACAAATAATGGCAACATTAATATTATTGGCTAAAATGGGTAGTATAACACATCCCCTTGAAGCTTAAATATTTATTAATACACTTATAATTTATACAAAATAGCAGATACAGGAAAGTTAGTTCAAAGCATTGGCGAAAAAAATTAAACAAATAAACTTTACAATTCAGCTACAAACACGTGCAATATTTGGGCAAGATTTTTGGACCTCTTCAGCCGAATATTCGATTACTTGCAAGAGCCGAAAGTAGCGGTGTTTTTGTGTTGGATAAATTTGCCATACCCGGGCATCCTAATAGCGCCCTTATAATTGCAATAAATATCATATCCCAGTTCCTCATTGTCTAGTGGCTTATCTCCCACCGCTGTTTTTACAGTTTTCTCCACTTCCACCTTGGTTGCTTTATCAACCTCATTTAGTTCCTCTTCCGTCGCAAGGTTGCTAGATAAGATCTTGTTCTTCAACAACATTATAGGATCTTTCATTTCTCTCACTTGCTTGATCTCGTCTCTGCTCCTGTAACTGGTACCAGGGTCTGAGAGGGAATGCCCGAAGTATCTATAAGTCAAAAGTTCCAACACAATTGGGCCGTTCCCACCGCGGATGTATTCTAAACAAAACTTCACTCCTTCCCTTACTGACAGAATGTCCATCCCGTCCATTCTGATTCCTGGTACAGCGTCACCCCTCGTGTATAGATCCTGATTGGCAGAATGCCGAGAAAGTGGTGTTCCCATGGAGTATATGTTGTTCTCTATTAGATAAAGAACGGGTAGTGAGAGCAGCTTGGCTTGGTTCATCGCTTCGAAGACCTGACCTTGGTCAGTGGCACCGTCACCGTAGATGGTTATGCAGACCCCTCCATCGCCTTTGTACTTGTGTGCCAGGGCGAGCCCTGTACCGAGTGGCACGTGGGCTCCGACTATAGCGGCGCCACCGTAGATGTTGGGACCGAACATGTGCATTGATCCTCCCTTGCCCTTTGAGCAACCTACGTTGAAAATATGTATTATACTGGTCTTGCCTATTGGTCTGCAGAAAATGTTATTGTTTGTGAGAGTTTAAAATTCTAAACTAACCTGATTTAACTCCTGCCACTTCCGCTATGATAGACTGAATCGAATTGCCCATCGACATCATCCAAGCGTGGCACCTGTAGGAAGTTATGGCGGTGTCCGTAGGTATCATCAAAGACCTGGTGCCAACACAGACAGCTTCCTGTCCGGAATAGAGGTGACAGAATCCTCTAACGATTTTCTTGGAGTACAAAACGCTTATCTCCCTTTCCATCTTGCGGATCAGGTTCATCGATCTGAAAAATTTCAAAGCATCTTCCTTCGTTAGTTCGGTACTTGTGGCAGGACCTGCATCCAACTTGTAGAGGTCATAGGGACTGCTTTCGAACTTGGCACAGAGAAACCTCTTCCCGCATTTTGATACTCGTATGGCTCTGTTGATGGTTTTGTTATTGATTCTCGTCGAAAATGAGAGTATTCCGCTCATTGTACTGGAATAATTTAATAACCTTTTTGGTTAGTCAGTCTTGCGAATTAAATGTCACTGTCACCAACGACAATCTACTTTCCGTTAAGCTGTCATGTGTAACAAAATTCTCTTTCCAAATGATAATAAATCCCTGAGAAATATCCTATTACCTCAGCGAAGTAAATATTAAGTAGATTTTCCCACCCGACAATTTATTAGTTGACTTTCTATTAAAGAAAACAGGAGTATAAGAAATTGTCTCCTACTCCGGCTTTTCATATCTTAAAAGTGTGTTGTGGAGAGGGACTTAAGACCTGAGGACAAATAGTCATCCTCCGGCTCATTTATATTACTGTCAGCGCAATTTTTAGTAAATTAGGAAATGTACTCAACGAAATTGGCGAGAGTACTTATCTGGAAGACCGGAGGGAAGCCGAAACAAATGATTATCGTCCCATTAAGGGACAATACGTGTGTATTAAATTACTAAATTTATCTAGCACTATGAAATTACGTGGCGTCTTGAAATAAGAGGAGTCCAATTCTATATTCAAATAAACATGAACAAACTTACATTGTATTTTTAATTAGAAAGCAACGAATAGTACACCGGTAGGTATCTAAAAAAAATATTCATATTTACTGAGGTCACAAGCGCATATTTAAAATAGTCGAAGTTTTTAAATTACTACTTCACATTTTGGTAATCTTATTATTCGCGTCATTGTACAATAACATGTGATCTGAAGCTTCGCATCGATCAATTTATTCTATTTGTGATTTGATTGAATTGTCGTTTGTGCGTGTGTAAGTGAGTTTGATACTTTGCTTGGTCGACTGTATAGCACGTGTTTTTATGACAGTTTATGGTTTTTTTCTTTGAATGATGATGTTATTTAACAATTTAGACATATCACTTTCAGTACCGAGTTAAAATTGAAAATTACTAACTATTTATAGTTAAGGAGCTCCCGCTGCCAGGAAAACGGTTATATTAAGACAAAAACTAATCGTTTTATAGATTTAATGGTTTCAGAAAAGCGCGGTAGCAAAGTACGTTTAATTACTTATATGCACGAGGGTGTTAGACCCAGAATAGTTAACGCGAGTTTCAGCTTTCTTTAATTATCTCAAAAGGAAAGGATTACGTGTTCCTCGAGCGCATTAATCAACCTGTTCGTACGTGGAACTTTAATCGATTCAGGTGGAATAAGACCAAATGGAGGAAGTGTTAGCTGGTAGACGAGTGGTAACTCTTGAAATTTGAAATAGGAGAATTCACGTCTACCAATTAATTCATACATATTTATGTATTCTTCTATTCAGGATGACTTTAATGACAATAATCTACGCCGAGTGTCAACAAAATGTTGTCACCTTCATAGGGGACTCGGTTCAAATTTTAGTGACTGTAATTAGTCATTACTGACTACAGTCACTAACAATCACTAAAATTTTGATATAAAGTTAATTAGAGTTTAAAATATTACTGAGAATGTATGCGATGTTTATGAGACATCCATCAATAAGTTTTGACATAAGCCTACTTTGAGAAAAGTCACCTATTTTCTTCACCGTAAGAGTTCAATTAAAAGCCTTTTTTATCGAAAACCGTCCACATTAGGAAGTTCTAACAAAAGTACATTATTTTTAGAAAATAAAATTGTACATTAGAAATTGGAGCCCGAATGGTAAAAAACTTAACCTTAAAAAAAATAGAACCTAAAATGTAATAGGAATGTAGCGTAACTAGTGCCCTCTATGAAATATCCAAAAAATAATTAGACCAGCGTATTTGGCGTCCTTAAAAACCCCGGAATACCAAATTTCATAAAAATATTTCGCACCGTTTGGAAATTTTCGTAAAAATTCTATTTAAAAAATTTTATTTTGTCGCTCTGTATCTCGAAAACAAGAGGAGATAGACATATAGTTCATAAGACAAAAAATTCTTATTTTTTGTCGTACTATCACCCCCTGAATTTACGGGAGGTCTTTCTGAAACACCCTGTATATTATTTTATTATGAATGCTCCAAAGTTGTGGATAACCAAAATATTGCTGTGCTCAAAAAATTGAAGCGGTAAGGTACCTTTGGTTTTTAACGATAACTTTCTTAATTTTAAAGCTATTGAAACGATCCAAAAACTATTTTATGAAAAATTTCGACAGCTAATAGACCAGGGTCGATAATTTTTGAAACCAAAAAAAATTATAGTAGGATGAAACCCATTGGAAAAGAAAGAGAATATAATAGAAATGAAAGGAAAAATAATTTACGGGCGATCTGAGGTCGGGAAGGGGAAGGGGGTGAGTTTTTAAGGGTAAAAAACGGTTTCCCTTGATTTCCGGAAAAACTACAAGTCTTATGGAAAAAAGTTAAATGGCAAAGTTGTAGGTAATAAAAAGATCTACAACTTTTGTATTTACACTTTTTTCACATAACCTCAAAATTTATGTGAAAAATTCAAATAACCAAGTTTTTGGTTTTTTATTTTTATCTTTTACAAAAAAATTTTTTTTTCACGAAATTTGGTGAAAACTTACCTATTTATGTCCCAAACACGCTGTAATTTTTTTGATTTGAAATATTTATTTTTTCACCTTATTTTTACTTAATATCGAAAAAGCACCCTAATTTTCAATCGAAAATTCTCACGTCAAAATATCTGCTTTTTTAAAAACGTCGGTGGGCTTTTTCTTCGTTGAAATCTCTACTTTCTGATGGTGTAAAAAAATATATACATTACTATGGTAAGTTTTCTCAGGAAATGCAAAGAAACGAACTAGAATCCGAAAATTTTTTTCTAATCATTATGTACAATTTTGAGCTATTTATTAAAATTTACACTTTAATTACTCGAAAAACGTAAGATTCCATGTTACATTGATAAACAAAAAAATTACAAGTCGAAATATACTATTATAATTAACAACCAAATAAGTTAATAAAGTTAATATTTAATAAGACATCTACAATATTTTGAGAAAGTTGTAGAATCTTCTTTCGTTTCTTTGCATTTCCTGAGAAAACTTACCATAGTAATGTATATTTTTTTTACACCATCAGAAAGTAGAGATTTCAACGAAGAAAAAGCCCACCGACGTTTTTAAAAAAGCAGATATTTTGACGTGAGAATTTTCGATTGAAAATTAGGGTGCTTTTTCGATATTAAGTAAAAATAAGGTGAAAAAATAAATATTTCAAATCAAAAAAATTACAGCGTGTTTGGGACATAAATAGGTAAGTTTTCACCAAATTTCGTGAAAAAAAAATTTGTTTGTAAAAGATAAAAATAAAAAACCAAAAACTTGGTTATTTGAATTTTTCACATAAATTTTGAGGTTATGTGAAAAAAGTGTAAATACAAAAGTTGTAGATCTTTTTATTACCTACAACTTTGCCATTTAACTTTTTTCCATAAGACTTGTAGTTTTTCCGGAAATCAAGATAAACCGTTTTTTACCCTTAAATACTCACCCCCTTCCCCTTCCCGACCTCAGATCGCCCGTAAATTATTTTTCTTTTCATTTCTGTTATATTCTCTTCCTTTTCCAATGGGTTTCATCCTACTATAATTTGTTTTCACTTTTTACCATTTTTGAAGGTTTAAGCACTGGTCTATAAAGGTACTGTAAAATTGAATATTATTTAGAGATTATTTACGTTATTTTGGAGATTTTTGAGGTTAAAGAGTTTGAAAAACATGAACTTCGTCCCCAACTGCAAACTTCTAGCAGCGACATCTCTGTTAATTTTTATCCTACACAAATAAAAAAGAAACCAAAATGTTCTGTGAAAAGAAATCTAAACCTTTGTGCTTTTGAATATTTTTTGTATCTTTTTTATTTTAAAGTTATTTTCAGAAATATGTTATTTTTTTGGAATTAAAAATTTGTTTCCATCAGAACGTAATATTTTCAAAAATATGCGTTCTAAACCGCTTAAACTTGTATAATATATTGTTAGCACATAAAAAATGTAAATTGTAGAAGGATTACCTTTAATTTAAAATCTCGTGAAAAATTAATCAGTTTTGTACTGATTTTTTTCCGAAAAAGCGAATTAACAGTTTTATTTTGATCATAACTCTGTTAATTTTAATGCTAACGACTTAAAGTCAAGTTCATTTTAAAGATTTTTTAAAGTACTTTAAAAAATGTCCTGTGCATTTTTCTTGAAAAATAGAATTTTTTTAGTTATTTTACGTTAAATGCTTCCAATTTAGTTTCTGGTTGACATGAAATTATCTTCAACCAGCCGTATCTCAGCACCTATTGCACCTACATAAATGAAAAAGAACTCAATCTTTTTCTTTTTCTATAAACTTCATTTTCATATGATGTCTATTTCTCAAAAGTTATTCGAGAAAAACTTCTGAAAAACGTCTTTTTTCAATAAAAAATGTACATTTTCAATCACTAATAACTCCGAAAATGTTGACTTATCGAAAAATGTTCATAAGATACTTTTTGCTTAAAATTGATTGCTTTATCGGTTCCTGGGGTTATTTTCAATCTTTCATTTTTCACCCCCTAGAAGGGGAGGCTTCCACCCTTTGGGCAAAATCGCTCATCGGCACTGCATAACTCTTGTTTCTTGAGCTATTTTCTACTTACAGTCCAAGTTTTACGTCAATCGGTTCTATCCGAAAGAATTCGGAGGAGAAACCTTTGGTTCCCTGGACTATCATTGACCTCTATACCATTGTACTCCAGGTACGTAGAAATCCTGTTTTTAATACATTTCGTTCTTCTCCGAGTTAATTACGTTTTATTTGATAGCCTTACATCGGCCTCGTTACAGAAAGAGCCGTCTCTTCGCCGTGTGGCATTATTACGTTGATTATGGAACTTTATCGGTGTAGTGGCTGAAATTATTATGGTCCCCATAAGAGCTTACGGGATCGAGCGGACGTGGCGCACATGCGAACTTGGAAAAGTGGAGGCAGATAAGGGTCGACAACTAGCCGTTCGCCTCTTGCCTAACCTTAAGTTTGCACGCTACTTCTATAAAG